AGCTAGCTCAATTTCCTCCACGATAAGAATTGCTTCCGCAGACGGCGACAAAACGTCACTCCGTGAATGACTTCTCATCGCGATTTCCACATAATGGATTTCAAAATGAGAGGTTGCTATCCGAGGACCATACTGCCCTGCCACTAACATGATGAATTTATATTCTTCCTAAGGTTTTGGTACTTACAGCATTATGACGAAGGTTTCCGCTGCTTGATCAAGAAGAAGAATCAGTACACTGGTCATGATAGGAGACTCCGACAACATACGTTGGCGATGATGCTTTGTACAAAATTGGCATGACCACTCCGTGAGTCTTAGATCTTACAATGATACCGGAAAGCATCGGAGTCAACGCATAGATCATTGATGACAAACATATGTCTTACAAGGAATATCACAGTACCGTCGCACTTGAAATTAGTTATGATTTTGTGATCATATCAGCGCGGTCGGTTTAAGGCATTCACGACTAGCAACGTGAACAGCTGTCCCTTGTCTTTCGTAGATCTGCCGCTGTGATCAGAGCGAAGCGTACACAAGCAGAAGAGCGCGCACCTTGCACCGCGCGCTGAGATTCGTTCCCCTTCGTGACTGCCATGATCAACATATTTATAGGGCAGAAAGAACGAATCGCACGTAGAATCCGGCAGCGGCATGGAAGGTCAGGTCCATGGCTGTGGACACTCCCAGCCCACGATCCGCAAGGGGCCGAACGTGCCTCTGGGCCACGTTCAGTCGGCGCATGGCCCACCCACGGAAGGACTCACAGGTCGATAAGATGCGCGGAAGTTGCCCCGGCGAGAAAGCCGTATAGGTTCAGCATGTCTGCTCACAGAGCTATCATGTATAACGAATGTAAGCTTATCCTTCCGCGCCTAGAGCTGGCACTTCCAGCAGCACACCACACAGCGTCTCCGAAGGCACATCTTCAGCGACGAGCTAGTAGCCTGTCCGCGCGTCGCTGTGCGGCGGAGGCAGATCTCCGTGAGGCGATATCGCGCAAGAACACGTGGCCGATACCGATGACAACGCTACCAAGAAAGTCTGCGATGGTAAAGTACATGAAAGGGATTGCGAGCTGGCGCATCTCGAGCAAGAAGTTCCCTTTGATGTCCTCCGGACAGTCGTTCGATGCAGGCGCGCGAGGAAGCTTGCGGATACGGGGAGGTAGGACTCCGTCTGGCATGGCATGCACTGTGCAGTGTGTTGAACACTTGCAATGGCCGTTGGGGCTTGAGCTTGAGGGCGCACCCAGCACAGCGCGGCCAATTTGTCTACATTCCACCCATAGCAGAGCAGCGCTGTCATGGGATCTCATTCGACCGGAAACCTACACGGTTGCTGCATTGCTCAATTACCGCCGGACGGCCTTGTACTACGGAACATTTTCGAGAGGCGGAGACCCATAAGCCTTGTGGCGCCGTCGAGCGGTTGGTAGTAGACTCGGTGCATATCATCGCAGATGCCCATCTCCGCTGTTTAATGCCTCCTTGGCGATACCTGTTGTAAGCTTGATGGCGATGCAGAGATGGTGACTGGTAGGAATGAACAAAGCGCGTGCCACATTCCTGGAGCTGACGTGGCGTATTGGCGCCTTCCGACAGTGGCGGTTGCTCTTTGCCGCCGCATCCTGACTTGCTCTTCGGTCCAGAGGCTCAGGCGACTTCTTCCCCCCATAGATGACGTGCTGCGTCAGGAGTCCTGATATCTCCTCAATTCTTATGGCGACGCAGGGCCGTCGCAGGCCCGGAGTCTCTACCGTTTGTGGGTAACCTGTTCCAAATACAACCGGAGGGAAGGATTCAACTGTTCGCACAGTGAAAACAGACTTCATATGTACTCCATATGGTTCGCTGCTTTCTCACTGTGTTATGTGTAAAACGACCTGCCAAGATGTCAGGGGTTGTCGTCAGTGTACCTTCACGTCTGCGGAAGAGAATTTGTCGTGCTCAATTCAGCCTCTGCGGCGATAGACTTGCTAGACAAACAGGGCATATTCCACAGCGACCGGCCGTACTCGACCACGGCGTCTATCTATCCTGGTCTTTGGCAGCTAGTTGAAAGTGGCGCTCATAGGGCCATAGCACATCACGAAACCAAGGATGAGTGCTACCTTTATGAACTGCCTGTCATCCCACACTTTCATCAGCCGCCGGCCTGAAACAGTGGAATAACTGCGGCCAAGACTCATTATGTGATCGGTAACCCAATGTACATATATGTAGCAAGGTTACAAGGCAGAGGCATACAAAGGATCAGGCTGCAGCGGAACTCTTTGCAACGCTATAATCAACCACCGGTCGCAATATTGCTGCAGTGAGACGAATTGCTGTAGAGTCGCCCGTATTGTGTGAACGCTCGACTCACACGCGGGGCGGCCAGGAAGATTCAGAAGATCGATGCTGCCGCGAAGTACTGTCATTGCATTACGAACAAGATAGCCAATATAGCGTCAACCGTCTTGACTGACAGGCGAGGCACAAGAAGATTAAGAAGATCGATGCTGCTGCAAATTGTGATTGCATTGGCGCGCTCCGACGAACAAGGGCTCGAATATAATATGTGAGTAAAGAGCTCTGGTACGAGACTACAAATTTGCTGTCTCCAACATAGACGACCATTCACTGCATCTTTGCAATATCGCCATTCTATATACCAAATCAGGTCATGTCCGTACGCGTCGCTCATAACGCAGTTGTCATTGCTTCGATCTCCTCCGCTCAAGACTCGAGAGATCAGGGGTACATACCGCAGCCACTGAAGGCTTGGCATACGGCGGCATCACCAGCGTTTGTGTTCGGCATGCCAATAGACGCAGTACAACGTGGGTAGTTTGGGCACGGGCCGGACCGAGTCCCCGCCCCTTCCCTCAACTCGATATTGTGAGCTTTCCGAGGCGAGTTGCGAGTGGGCGTCCCGAGTGTGGATGCAAAACAGGCGCTGGCATTTTTCTTCAACCGCCTAAATGCAGTTGCGCATTGGCCAATCAAAACATACGATCAAGTCCTACTGGTGAGTTGGGGACTCAGCTCGGCTCGGGTTGCCCAGTTGATGGGCTCATTTGGCGTTCGCAGAACCATGCTGCAAAAAAATCGCAACGCGACACGAATTGCACCTTCAGCATCAGTGGATAAACGGTCTCGGAACAACCGGGACATCCAATATCACGAGCTAGGAATCCAAAGACACTCCGGAACAAATTTCGCCTTCATTCTGCGAGGAGAACGGAACTCGTCTGTCCATAGAACCAACGTCGAATGTCTCTATCAAGCGGCCGGAGGCGCCTGTCCGCTCATCATTCATCTGCCACGTTACATGGGCGTCCTGAGCAAGCACGTTGAGACGGCTATTATGATACAAACTTGCACGTTTATGGTCTTGCGATGCTCGCAGGTCTTTATGGGGTAAGAATTCTGCATCGGCCCATGTCGGTCTGCGGAATCAGCGTCCGTCATTTCCGTCTCGGGGATGTACCTCGCGTGGTGAATGATTTTTCATGTATGTAGGTCGGTCCTTTCTCAGTAATCTCTCCGTGCTTACACGCGCTGAAGTGGCACGATGGTGAAACAACTGGGTTTCAGCCAGGCTGAAGAGATATCAAGACTCGAACTGAAGAGCGGTCTCTCTCACGGAGCCACTCATTTACACGTCGCAACTCAGATCCCACAAGTGCCAGGTACACACATGTCGGCACCACCTGCGAAGAGAATTGGACGTGCGGCATCCTGAGGCACTAGGCACGGTCAGTTGCAGACCCGGCTTGAAACTGTGGATGCCTGCACATCAGATCCATTGACAGGCTATTGCGCGCTTCCGTGACCGTGCAACCTTCAACAAGATGATGGGCGGTAAACCTGCGGGTGATTGCAATTCTTCGATTGGGGTGTTGGTCGTTGACAAAAAAACCAGATTATACCGTTCGCTCCCCGAAGGTTGGTCTGCGAGTTTTGCATAAATACCTCGAACAAAGTGGGCCATATCCACAGTCCCGCAGCCTTCTTCACTCGCATCGCCATAACATTGACACAAGATGACCTCTCATCCTTCGCCCTCAGTCTCTGTGTGGCCAGAGGTCTCAACCTCGTCGGGCCTCACTTTCTTCACTTCGCTCAGTCCGAGCATCACGATTGCGGCAGCCATTCTCCTCGCCAGTCTGTACCTCCTGCCATCTATCATTGGCACGAGCTTCGACCTATTTGGACGTCGTCCCAGAGACAAGGACGGAAACTCCATTCCGAACGGTCCCCTTGGACTTCCGATAGTCGGTGTGTTTCCTCGTTTTGTCTATGTACTTTACTGTATTGACGTTGGGTTCTTCTCTCCAGGGTCATTCCCGTTCCTGACTCATTATCCGGAGTTAACTCTGGATTACTGGTACAAGAAGTTCGGTCCGCTCTACTCGATGTGGCTCGGAAACCAGCTGTTCGTTGTGGTGTCCGATCCCGGCATCGCCAAGGACCTCATGGTCACTAACGGCGCAGTGTTCTCGTCCCGCAAGGAGATGTATATCAAAAGCCAGCTCGTTTTTGTTGGTCGCGGTATCACGGCGACTCCATACAACGATAGATGGTAGGCAGGTTTTGTAGCCTCATTGCGATGGGACTGAACGGATGGTTCCATAGGCGCAAGCACCGTCGCATCGCCACGATCTGGCTCAATCAGCGAGCGGTGAACGGCTACACGAACGTGCTGGACTATGAAGCAACGGTAATGATCAAGAACATGTACCAGCTCAGTCAGGGCGGCCGCGCTCCCATTAATCCTCAGCCCCACGCGGGACGTTGTTCTCTAAACAACATGCTCACGATAGTCTTCGGAACACGGACCGACACCATCCATCATCCCCTGGTGTTGAAGGCGCTCAAGTTATCCCGTGAATTCATGTGAGTTCTTTCGCGCCTCTTCCCTCTGAGGATTTCCTGACGCATAGGTTATCCAGGAACTGCACTGGTCCGGTCTCCAACCTCGTCGACTTTGTCGCTCCCCTGCAGTGGTTCCCGACGATCATGTCCGTGCGCGGCAATAAGCTGCACAAGGGACTGGCCGACACCTACGGTGGCATGATCAACGACATCGAGCGTCGGATGAAGGCCGGCGAGGATGTACCCGACTGCCTGGCTAAGACGATGATCGAGCTGCGTGACGAGGAGGATCTGGACCACCTTGATATGGCCATTCTTGCATCGGCGTTCATGATCGGTGGAGTCGAAACGGTGAGCAGCATCTGTTGATCAGCGTGCTTATCTGCGAGTTCATCGTATATTACGTGCAGACGGCGTCTATCATGCAGTGGTTCTCGGCGCTCATTCCTGCGTATCCGGAGATTCAGAAGAAGGCGCAAGAGGAACTCGATCGCGTCGTCGGTCGCAACCGTCTTCCCACGGTTGAGGACGAGAAGGACTTGCCATACTGCCATGCCATTATCAAAGAGGTCGAACGGTGCCACAACCCATTCTGGCTCGGCACTCCCCACGTCGCGTCGGAGGACTTCACGTACAATGGACAGTTCATCCCGAAGGACACGGTCGTCGTCATGAACACTCGGTCGATGCATTATGACGAGACGAGGCACGCGAACCCGGATAAATTCGATGTAAGTCTCGGACATCGTTGAGATATGTCGTCTCGAAGTAACAATTTATTTGCAGCCCGAGAGATACATCAACGACAGCACTAACAACACCGAGTCCGCCAACCTCGCTGACCCGTACGAGCGCGATCACTGGATGTTCGGATTAGGGTGAGTGCTCACGTCAAACCGATTATCATGAAGGACGCTGAACGTACTTCGTCAGGCGCCGGATCTGCCCCGGCATGATTGTAGCAGAGCGCGAGATCTGGCTGTCTATCTCTCGCATGCTCTGGGCGTTCAACATGGTGGAGATACTGGGCGAACCGATCGACCTGAAGGAGTATGACGGTTTATCTGGACGTTCGCCCGTCCCCTTCCGCATCAAGCTCGTTCCCCGCCATGAGAACGTCGCTAAAGTACTCGGACTCTGAGCGCTATCGGGACGAGCCCGGCGCAAGCGACAATGTGTCGCGGAGTATTTCCTTCAGACGACTGAGCCCGGTGCCTGTTCGTCAATAGAGTGTCCGAATTACGATATAATCGTTGTTTGCGGCATGTTGAATCATTCGTTCTGTGACTGGTTATATCCTGATGCTACCTGATATTCATGCGACTTCCCAATTATGCTTGTTGTCACCAAAAATGACACTAGGTCCGAAAAAAGTCTCAGAACCCCCGATTGTTCTGGATCTTTCTCCGGGTTGGGGGCTTCTTGCCGTGCATTTATTGGCTTGTACAAGCTTAAAAATAGACTGAACGCTTGCTTACCATGTAAGCAGGAGAACGAGAAAAAGAGACTAGCGAATGAGGAGCCTGGCCACACAGGGCAGGACCCCCGAGCCGGGCATCGTTAATCCGGACCCAAGCACCTATTTCGCGCGGATGCCCACGTGCACTCCGGCCGAATCCTCGTCGTCGTATATCGACTCTCGAGTCATCGACCTTTACTTACTACAACCTTGTTGACTTTCCCAGCCAGCCCACTGCGCGGCCAGGAGTTTGGGAGTCACCCGCTCTCTAGAAGATGGCTCCACGGGGCCAAACCGATGGCCCGTCCCATTGTAGCCGCGCCCTATTATATACACGCGCGCTACTACTCTCCCACGCCGGTGGCGCAGGTCGCACCGGGGCCTCTCGCATCTGCGCTCCGTGCCCAGATTCCAACAAACCTCTCTTCCTCGAGAACATCCGCTGCACTTACGAAACACGAGAGTAAGTTAAAAAAGGAGGTTCCATAGGCACAGGGCGATTTGAGTTTTCCTGATGACATCGGTAGCGTGCTCAATAATAATTGTCAAGAATGTTTTGCGAGTCCTCGCTAGACCGCATCGGCGGTTTCATGCTTCTGTTGGATCTATTTTGCAGCTCAACATAGAGGACTTCTATGATGTTTGCTTCATGTAGCAGAGGTTGTATCAGGTGCTGCGGCTTGCTACTTTTTATATAAGGCATGATTGTGTCTCCTAGCTGTATCCAATATTTCAATCCATTCAGTAGATGAGCACCGTTACGTCACGTTGAGTAGTATTCACATTGATCAGTAGCAATATGTAACTCTGCACAGTCCGTATTGTAAGCAACGATTCATCTTGATACAATGTACCAATGGGCGTCGTTGGATCGGCTTCAAGACCTTTGAACAACAAATCGGACTGAAACTATCGGGTCCTTGACTCGTTGCTTTCCTTCTTCAGACCGGCCGCGCTTGCGGCAAGTTTGCCCGGCAGGTGAAAGCGTCCGCTGCTGTCGAGGACATCTTCATCATATATCTGCTCGCGCTCTTCATATGCCGCCGCCGTGTCTACCGAAACTATGTTTGATCAAAGAAGTTGTTATTGAATCGACAAGTTGTGAAGTTGTACTCTCGCTCGTGAAGTATGTAGCTGCGGTCTTGTTGCGGCCCAAAGTTCGGCCCCCGTGCAAATGACGGTGCAGTGGTACAGGACCCCGTTCTGGTGATCCCCGCGAAAATAGAGCAGTATCACTTCAACTTCTCCACCTCAACAGTACTCTATCATCCCTTTTATCTCCGAGGTTCACCCTAGTAACCTTCACTACACAGCATTAGAACTGATCACTTTCTTGTCCTCCGTCTCCTCCGCAGTAGCGGGCGCCGGACTCGCAGTCCCGGTCGAGGGCTCGGGCGAGGGCTCGGGACCACCCAAAGCCGGCGACGGTTTTGCGACGGGCGGTATCGCAGGGGCGATCCAGAACATGGGATATCTCCTTTGGATGTTGTTGATGATGAGCGCTACAGTCAGGACAAGCATGCTCGAGAGGAGCACGACCGGCAAATAGTACCAGCTCAGCTCCCAGATATCGTCGTCGAGCGCGGGGAGCAAGGCCGTCGCGCCGGCGGGTGGGTGCGTCGTTCCTGTGATTTGCATCGCGACGATGGCGACTGATGTAGAGAGGGAGGCAGCGAGCCAGCGGAGAGACTCGAAGTGCGAGGAGAGGGAGAAGAGCTTGGTGATGCAGAGGCCGAGGAGGGCGGAAATGAAGTGGCCAAAGACGAGTGCCCGTGGCTGGGAGAGCGGCGCTTCGATTGCCCCGAAACAAAGCACGGCGGAGGCACCCTTCGAAAGAGATCAGCCAACAAGGTCCACGTACGAAGAGAGAGAAAACATGACGCACGTATGAAGCGACCATAGAGGGCATACCGGGCCGCTTGACGAAGTAGTGCGCATGACCAAAGACGGCCTGCAAGACGCACAGGCCGCAGAACGCGGCGATGAAGGACCAGAACCAGATGAGGTAGTCGGGCAGCTTGGGTGGTGGGCTGGCGCGGTATCCGAGCCAGCGCGTGAGCCACGGCGGGTATCGAGCGAGACGGTGTGGCGGCATGGCTTGCGATGCTCACTACGCAGCAATGTCGTGGGTGGAGGACGGAGCGGAGGGCAATGGAACGCTGCGGGATTGGGGTCAAGGGCCTCAGGTTCACCTGGAAAGTTGCACTTTAGGACGGAAGCTACTTTTTGTATTTTCACGGTGCCACCAGTGCATCGCTGGAATGAGCTCCTTGCATGATCGGATCTTGGTTTACCCTGACAAGCGCTTGAGCCTAGCTGTTAACGCCGACACCGAGCAGCTCGGGCATGGGTCCCACGTGCGTTCAGCTGCTGGCTCAGTTAGTAACTTGAAGTTACCCAATTTACTGGCAGAAAGGATTACAAACTTGCAGAGACGTCCAATGATCAGTGCGGTAGAACTCTTTGCACCCTACAATCGTTCCTGGCCGCAATATTACTGCAGTTAAGGGAATTGCTATAGTCGTCCATAATCCATATTGTGTTAACGCGCGGGCGCCCAAGAAGACAGGGCGTGTGAAAGCCGAGAAGATCTCTGCTTACGAATGTCATTGAGTAAACATGAATGGTCTTTGACAGCTCCATCATCTTGCACATTTCTCACGTAATTCGTCCATGCGGCGCCAACATGTTGCGTGGACATCTTTGCAATACCGCCATTTTAAATAACAAATCCGGTCGTGGCCGTACGCGTCGCCTATCACGCAGTCGTCATTGTGTCTACCCTCATCACGCTCAAGACTCGGGAGAACCAGGGACACACACCGCCAGCCACATATCTGCGCTCGTGTCACGAATGCTAACAGGCATGAGCGGTCTTCTCGACTCGACTCGGTTTTCCGAGCGAGTGGGCTCCCGACTCGTCTGGATGCAAAACAGGCAATCACCCAATGGAAGCGTGCGTTTTGTGGATCATTAACCGCCTAAACGCAGTTGCGCATCGGCCAATCAGAATCTACGATCGGAGTGAGTTGTGGACTCAGCTCGGCCTCGGGTTGTTGAATTGACGGGCTCATCTGGGGTTCCCAGAGCCATGCTGAAGAACAATGCAGGGCAGACGCGACGCAGCATGAATTGCATCAACTTCTGCGCGCTCAATTTAGTACCAGGAAAACGGAAACTTCCTCTGACAGTAGAACCTGCCTCCGAAGTCTGTCAAGCGGTCGGAACAGCCTGTCGGTTTCATCATTCATCTGCGATGTTACAAGGGTGAACGAGCACGCACGCACGCCTTCAGACGACTGTTATGATGCTACCTTGCACGTTCATGGCGTCGCAACGCCTGCCAGGTCTTTATGGGGATAAATCTCTGCATCGGCCCATGTCGGTCTGTGGAGCGACCGTCCATCATTCGCGTCTCGGAGGTGTACCTCGCCTGCTGGATGATTCTTCACGCACGTACGTCGATCCTTTCTCAGTGATCCCTCCGTGCCTGCATGCGCTGAAGCACAATGGTAAAGCAACTGGGCTTCAACCACCCAGGCTAGGCTGAAGAAATATGAAGACCCGAACTGAAGAGCCATCTCTCTCTAACGGAGCCACTCATCTACGATTCGAAACATAATTCACACCAGTACCAGACACACACATGTCGGCGCAGCCTGCCAAGGACGGATATACGCCATCTGGAGCCGCTAGGCACGTCAGCTGCAGATCCGGCCTTAAGCTGTGGGTATTTGCGCATCAAATCCGTTGACATCAATAGCATTTACCCTCGCACTGCCATGAGCGTGCAAGACTAGACGAGACGATGGTCGCAAGAACATTCATTCCTTGTCGTTTCAGAGTCGACACATCCCCGTATGGTGAGCAGGTGATGGACCCGACCGTGTTGCCGGTTTCGCCTGCGGGTCACTGCAGCTCTTTCAGCAGGGGCTGTCGTTGGCAAAGCCCCAAATCATGCCGTTCGCCGCCGACAATTAGTCTGCGAGTTTTGCATAAATACCTCGAATGAAGGGGGGCAACATCTACACTCGAGCAGTCTTCTCCGATCGCACCGCCATAACATTGACATAAGATGTCTTCCCATCCTTCCCCCTCAGTCTCTGTGTGGCCAGAGAACTCACCTTCGTCGGGCCTTACCTTCTTCACTTCGCTCAGTCCGAGCATCACGATCGCTGCAGCCGTTTTGCTCGTCAGTCTGTACCTCCTGCCATCTATCACTGGCACGAGCTTCGACCTATTTGGACGGCGTCCCAGAGACAAGGACGGAAACTCCATTCCGAACGGTCCCCTTGGCCTCCCGATAGTCGGTGTGTTTCCTCGCTTTGCCTATGTACTTTACTGTATTGACGTTGGGTTCTTCACTCCAGGGTCGTTCCCTTTCCTGACGCGTTATCCGGAGTTGACGCTGGACTACTGGTACAAGAAGTTCGGTCCGCTCTACTCGATGTGGCTCGGAAACCAGCTGTTCGTTGTGGTGTCCGATCCCGGCATCGCCAAGGACCTCAT